CTGGTGCATACCCTTTCCGGCTGCCCCACAGGGTGGTGCCTGTGGGGAGATGCTCCTGCTCTACTCTGTGCCGAAGCGCTTCAGATTCTATCCAGGCTCCAGTTGCTTGGAGAGCACTGCAAATCCTATGACAGCCAATTGCAGGTACAAGTTTGCAAACCTGGAAGCTCTGGGTACTACCTGAGAGCCAGAGCATTTTGTGTAGAGGTTACTCTGATATGTATGTATTGAATAGAGACAAACATATGTACTACATAGAATGTGGTGTTCACATAACGTCCAAATCACATACTGTCATATTTGATAGACCATGTCACGAACGTTAAGCAATGCATACCTGTATTACCACCCTGTCTTCCCAGCTAAGCTTTCATCTCTAATCCTTACCTCTCTTCACATCCTGTACCCTGCCTTCAGATCTGAGAAATGCAAATCTGATCTTTTATTTCCTCACCTAAAATCCTTGCTGGCTACCCACTGCCCATAGGATAAATGCCAAAATCCCTCACGTGGCCTGGAGGTCCCTCAATTACATGGCTCCTACCTTCTCTAAGGAGTTCTGGTGGCACAGTGGGTAAGGCTTTTGACTGCTAACCATAAGGTCAGCAGTTCTAACCCACCAGTTCCTCCAAGGGAGGAAGATGAGGCAATCTACTTTCATAAAGATTTACAGCCTTGGAAACCCTATGGGCGTTGCTGTTACCTTGTTGATTCCATGCCTGACCTTCTGGCACAATGAAGTCTTGACAGTTTTTTTAATACACATGGTATTTCATGTTTTGTTGTTTGTTTTTCCTATTCACTCTTGTCTATATACTGCAAATCCCTCTCCTTAGTGGCTAACAGCTCTAGGTCTTTCCAAATCACTCAGAATACTTCCTCAGGGAGGTGTTGCCTCTTCATCTACTGGCAGCGATGAGCACCTCTCCTATATGCCTTCCACCTCCTAGTGATTATCACCAGATCGTTCCTGCCTAGTAGCCCACCTTGCCTGTGGGATTCTGAGCTTCTCAAAAGCAACAACCAACTCTTTTATCTCTGTAGCCCCAGCCCTAGCACTACATGGCCTGACACAGAGCTGGAGTTAAGCAGGTGTTGAATGTAAAGGAAATCTAGGAAGGCTGCCTGTAGGAGGTAGGCATTTAGCCAGATGGAATGAGTGATTAAGATTAGGACCAGCAGGGATAAGAGGAAGAACATTCCAGGAGAGGAAGCTTGACCCTGAGCTTAGAGATGGTGAGGCTTTTGTGTGATGAAGGGACAAGGAGTGGTTTGGCTCAGCTAGCCCCCAAGACGTTTGCTCTTAGGAGCCAGTTGTGGGAGACAGTGAAAGTAGAAGTAACGTGAATAAGCAAATGATTGAATCTGGAAGTCCAGGAAGGAGAGGGATCAAAGGTAAGAATGCAGAGGGTACAGTCAATAAGACAGGGAGCAGTGTCCAGACCCAGGTTAGGCTGCTTAAGGAATGAAGATGCTGGAAGCTCAAGACTGTGGTTCTGGCTACGGTCATTTTGGTAACATCGGCAAGACAAACTCTTCTGGCTTTTTTTTAATGTGTCTTCCCACCCACCTGATTCATGTTTTTATCCCCACTGCTAAGTGCTCAGTAAGTTTGAATGGCTGAATGGTGAATGAATGTGTGCAGTGGAGTCAGAATAAAGCCAGGAGTGGTTCTGCAAGAGCCAGGGAAAAGGAGAAGGGGTCCTGTGGTGATTTTAGATAGAGCCGTTGCCACCAGGATGCCTCCCAGGTGGATAAGAACAAGCCAGAAGAAAGACAGGCTGCTGCCAACAGTGGGAGAGCCAGGGGAGGAAGCTCAGGGGACAGACAGGAGTTCAAGGAAACCGTAGCTTGTCGCTGGTAACAGGGACAGTCTGGCTGGGATTTTAGTGTCATTGCAGATCAAAGGACACTTTGAACATAATGCCTTAAACCTGTGCTTACGGTGCATGCTAAGTGACTTTCTACCTGGCCATGCAGTGAGAAAGCGTGTGCAAGCCACTGCAGTGAACTCTCTGCCTTCAGTGAGCTAATGCAGTAAACATGAGCATCAGTGCCTTTATTCTCTATTTAAAGATACATCTATAAAGAGTTATACATTGTCACTGCTAATCCGTTTTTCCTTGTAAAATAGACAGCTTTATGACTATTATGACACTGTTCTCCAAATCCAACCACTACTGTTCTTCCATTAAATTTAGCATACTGACATGTGTTTAGAGAATGTCATATAATGTTGAAAATGTCAAAGAAACTATTTCTTCTGGCCTGCTTTTCCAGTTTTCTTGTGTAGTGCTATGGCACTTTCTCGTATTTTTCTTACGTGTGCAGAGAGATGATTGAACGAAAGTAATCTAGAGGTTAAAGTATTAATGGTCTGTTTAACATAAAGAATTCTGTTGCTAAGCAGACATCCTCAGGGATACGTTACGTAGGGTTGTGCTTCCATGTCAGTAATTCTTTTGCTACCAAAACCAAGCCCATTGCAGTAGTTGAGTGTGACTCATGGCGACTCTCTGTGTTACAGGGTAGAATTGCCCCAGAGGGTTTTTTCTTGGTTCTGGTCTCTTCTAGGTGGGTTTGAACCATCAATCTTCAGTGTAGTAGCTGAGAACAAACTGTTTGCACCACCCAGGGACCTTTTATTAATGATATTAGTACATCCATCAAAAGTCAAAACTACCACAGGGACCATGCAGGAAGTTTACTACCAAAAGCAAGCGTGGGAGCTTGTAGGGGAGGATGTCTGAGGATGAACAACAGATAATGAGCAAGAATTCAATTTCCTCAAGCTACAGCTTGGACACTGACTAACAGACACACGGGGTTTGTGAACTACAAGTAATTTACTTTTAAAATTCAATTTCATTTGTTCAAACAGTCATTGGAAGCACAAGTATCTAAAGACTTTGGATATTGGGACCTCAGTGTAACGTTCTCCAAAGCACATACTAGTCAGAGTTAATTCTTCCAACAATTACATTGAGCACTAGGTATGTGTCAGCCATCATGCTTGACACGAGGCAACAAGGTTGACCCACATCTTCTGTGTCTTCTCTCTTGTCTGAGATGAACCAGGAGTTCCAGATTCCCGCTGTTGCCCCCGAGTTGACGTCCGAGTGGCTGCTCTTTATTTCCCGTTGTCAGCTTGAACTGTTTCATAAGGCATGAAATGTTGCACTTCTGATGTTCTTCCAAAATACCAGTCTTCAATGTGCTTTTTTAAAATTCCACAGTGTGTCAGTTTTGATGGAGCCAATCAGAAAATCCTAGGAAAGTGGAATTCAGGAAGTCAGGGAGTCAGAAGAATGCTTGGAATTTCTGACAGATTTCACTAAACATTTTCTGTATGACATGTTCCAGAAGACCGTGAAAGTTAGTTTATGCAAATATAAACTGCGTTTTGACTTGCTGATAACTACAAATAAATGATTCAGATGGCCACCCATCAAAACCAAGAAGTTTAGGGGTCTGTGTGTTTCCTCTGAAACATTTTCTTTACACATTTTTATAATTGAGGAGAAATAATTTAATATTGCATCATTTTATTTCTTTTAAATTCTGAAGATCTAGTTTCAAATATTTCTGTATATCTGAATAATCTCTTTACAGGAATATAATGATTAACCTCTTCTCTTGATTTGACTTTAGAAGAGGGGATGAAAGGCATTGTTTTTACTTTAATATCAGTACGGCAATGCACTTATTTCCCCATTGAAATTACTCACTCTGTCCCATTTTTCTCAAGGTATGGCTAGAAATTTCGATTTGTTATGTGCCATCAAGTTGATTCCAACTCCTACTGATCCTATAGACAGAGTAGACATGCCCCATAGGATTTCCTAGGCTGTAATCTTTATGGGGAAAGGACTTTTGGTAGCATTATGGTAAGGCATTCAGTTGCTAACCAGAAAGTCAATGGTTCAAACCCACTGACTGCCCCATGGGAGAAAGATGAGGCAGTCTGAGTCCATAAAGATTTACAGCCCTGCAAACCCTATGGGGGTCTCTATGAGTCAGAATTGATTCAATGGCAGTGTGTTAGTTTCGGAATCTTTATGGGAGCAGATTTCCAGGGCTTTGTCCTGTGGAGCCACTGGTAGATTTGAACCGCAGACCTTTTGGTTCACAGGTGAGTGCTTAACCATTGCACCACTACAGCTCCTTTATATTTATACACTAAAAAGCCTTATGTAAAGTTCATAAATGTTGCATAAAACAGCTTTGTGGCCCTGGCCCAAGAAATAATAAGTGGGGATAAAGGGAATTAGGTAGATAACCTTTAGCTTAATACAGCTTAGAAATTAGATCCTATACATACTAATTTTGTGCTGTTTTTTTTTTTTTAAATAGATGGAGCTGATTAAAAATATAAGTACTGCCGAACAGCCCTATTTATTTACTCGACATGTTCATTTCCTCAACTTCTCAAGGTAAGCTGTTTTCCACAGTAGTAGTTCGTTCATTTCCTTTTAGTTCTTTGACCCCATCTAATGAACAATTACTGTAAAATCAACCTTCAGTCTCTAGGTAGTGCAATTGCCTGTGAAGAGACATTTTTAATCTATTTATTTTTGCTGTTCCAAAAGTCAGTGCCAATGCATAGCTGCCCTTTAGGGTTTCCAAGGTTGTAAAACTTTATGGAAGCAGACTGCCACATCTTTCTCCCACAGACTGCCTGGTGGGTTTGAACCACTGACTTCTCAGTTAGTAGCCAAGCACTTAACCACTGCACCAGGGCTCCTATTTTTGCTGTAGAGGGATAAAAATTTTAAATATTTTGACAGAAGCTTAATTTCTCCCTAGAATGTTAATCTTAAATCTTGTGAAAGCTTGAAATTATTTTGAATGAGAAGCCAATTCTTAAATAAATAAATAAATTTTAAAAAGCAGCAGGTTTTTTTTTTTTTTTAATCAAAACAAAGAAACTAATAGGCAAGAAATGTTTTATTTTGTTTTTTTAATTTTTATTGTGATTTGTGTGAAAGTTTACAGAGCAAATTCATTTTCCATACAGCAATGCACATACACTTTGTCTCATGATATTGACTGCAGTTTCTCAAAAGCAACAGCTTTCTTCCCACTTCCTCCCCGTAGTTAGGTCTTCCCTGCCATGAACTCCTCCCCCCCAAGCTGTCTCCCTGTGCATACACAGCCCTTTTATTCCACCATGGTTAATCTCTCCCAGGAGTGTATCTACCTAATGTAAATATTCAGCTGATATGCCTGTCTTTTGTTTTGTTTGGCTGGAAGGCACAGAAGGGGGTTCAATCCAGACCTGAAGACCAGCTAGGGGCCATAGTCTCAGGGGTTCCACCAGGCTCTATCAGACCGGCAAACCTGGTCCCCCCCCCCCTTTTTTTTAATGATTTTAAATTTTGTTCCACATTGTTCTCCCGCTCTATCCAGGATCTCCTATATAGATCTCCCTCTGA